TCTGGATAAATTTTACCTTGTTAGACCCACTACTAGTAAGCTTCTACATGCGTCAGTATACTTGTCAGATTCAGTATCTGAAAACACCTCTCAAGACACTTATCCAAAATCGGAATTGTGGTGGGCAGCATCTGAAATTTAAAATTTACTTTCTGAAACAGATAATCCAACAAGTTCGCCCACTTTCAACAGTGTGTGTCCAACAGGTGTGTGAATAAGTCTCTTTTTTTCACCAAAGTCCATCACTTTTCCTGAGTACAAATGAGTAAAACACCACGAATGGCTTTGATGAGATACTGCTAGAGATAAGAGATACGCTTGTGTTGTTATCCCAACTGTACCAAATATTACATCTTACCCGTTTCTATAATTGAAAGCTATTTGCCCCGCCTTTAAGTTTGGTAATTTGGAACAAGTAAAAATACCACTTTATTTCAAGCCTACCCTTGCCTTAAGAATTGTAAGTATGTGGTTTGGTGGTTGTCTAGTGGGGTATAATGGAAATCACAGCTTCTAGCTGGCACCATACTGGGCCTTTCGACAGTAGTTTATTCTAGTAGGTATATATTGTGTTCTAAATTAAATTGTTCCTTTAAATTTGTGTGTGAGTGCACCATCTGAAGTGGTTAAAAGTCTGTGTGCTGGCCTAATGCTGCCTCTCTGTGGATGTTGAGTGCTGGCCTGCCAGCTCCCTGTGCCCACTCATGGCAACCTCAGAGCTGGTGTTATGTGATGTCTCCAGCTGCAGACTCCGCGACATCTGACCAATCAAATCCTGCCACACGCTGAGTAAAAATAGCCTCCAGGTGTCCCCCCCCCAACTGGAAGCAGAAATGGGATGCTTATTGGTGGGCTTATGTGTCAGGGTGGGGTAAAAAGGTATTCTTGGGTCTTTTCCATGAGTCAAGTTGTCAGTGATGAATTGCACTGGGCAGGGCACCAGTAGGGGGGAGAGTGAGTGGGCTTGTTCTTGTTCAAGTAGATGTGATTAAGGAAAATTACCATATTTAGCTCCTTGTAATTGGGTAGTGTTGACATCTAGATGGCTTGTCAAGAATTTAACTTTTTAAGACTCTTGGATTTAGGGTCATTTTATCTATTTATGTACACCTCATGTTATGAAATACATGTTTGCACTTTCTTATTTTGATTCCAGTACGTAAAGAGAACGAGTTGAAGGTGTTGCTCTGTATGGAAAAGACACAAACCTGTGCCTCCGTTTACCAAACATGTACTTTGTAACCGTCTCACAACTCGTACTGTAGATAAAAAGTAAATGCAGCCCATTTGTCTCCTCTGGATTCCATGGCAACGGCTAAAAATCTGGACACAGAGAAGCATCACTTTAACCCTGCTGAAAATCACTACTATTTCTTCAATAACCGCAAAACCATTCAGTGAAATTACCTGGGGTCTGAGTTTACTACTCCTCCATACTCCCCTCCCGATTCCTTTTTCATGGAGTCAAAGCTGGCACAGTGCTCAGTTAGGCATTATGAAACCACTTTGCTTATTACGTATATATTTAGAAACACTATAAAGCAACGTGGTCACGATAAAGCTACAGTATGAAACTGTGGCTTTATTCGCCTTCCTGATCAATGAAGAGCTGGTAGAATGTGAGGTTAATTCTGGTTTACTGTTACTCGTTTGCACTAAAGCATATTCAATTAGTCGAACGGAGTGCTCGGCCACTCTCCGCTGCTGTTTCCTACATTAATCTGGCAGAGAGAATTAAAAGAGGGTTAGAGAAAAGCTGTGTGCACTGACAAGACTTGGATTTAAATTGAAGCAGGATGCACTAAGAAGACTTGAATTTAGATTGAAGCTGGGTGTCTTTT